CACTCTCCTGGCTTGGTCTCTGCAGCACCTGTCCCCATCTACTGTGGCAGGTTGCAATTTGTTAGTTACTTTAGTGCACACTTAGTCTGCAAAGGCTGATCTGCATCTTTCTTCTTCACTGTGGTGTCCCTAGTACCTGGAACAGGGGCAGCACATGCAAGTGTGGGGACAGGAGATGGTGACTGAGTGCTGGTCTTAATGTTACTATTTCCTGTCTCTTGCTGCCTCTTGTCTCTGAGTCAGCAGTATCTATGAGAGGACAAGGGCAGCTCTGTCGTAGTCACTGGTGTGTGCCCGTGTCCAGTTCCTGTATGATGATTCTGCCACTGTGTTTCTTTTGAGGGGACTAAGGTTAAGGATGATCCTGCAGAAGAGCCTAGCACTGACCGCTGCCCCCATCTCTCCTGCCCTAGGAAGGAGATGACAAAATTGAGTACCGAGCCTGGAACCCCTTTCGCTCCAAACTGGCTGCAGCGATCCTGGGTGGTGTGGACCAGATCCACATCAAGCCTGGGGCCAAGGTGCTGTACCTTGGAGCGGCCTCTGGCACCACAGTCTCCCATGTCTCCGACATCGTAGGCCTGGTGAGTTGGATGGGTTGGGGGGTGGGCCACCTCTCTGGCAATCTGGAATGGGGGCCTGGCTCCTTCCCCACACCATGTTCCTATGAGTTAGTGGACAACTTGAGGCCTTGAGGGAAGAGGTGTGGTTAAAACAACACTAGTGGGACCCAAAGCTGGGAGAGTAGACAGTTTGGTTCCCCTCTTAAAAATTTCACAGCCCCAGCTGGGTGTAATGGTATGTGCCTATTACTTCATTTACCCAGGAGGCTGAGGCAAGAAGATGCAAATTCGAGGCCTGAGCAACATAAGTTAGACCCTGTGTCCAAGAAAAAGAAAAAAGTCACACTCCCAAATTCTGGTCTTCTGGTTTCACTTGAAAGAACTGGTAGTTTTCATAGTTCTGGGCCGGGCCTGCATTTCTGTGTGGCTATACAGGTTTCTCCTGTAGAGGGTGCTTGGTACCTGTCTGTTTCACTTTACCACTTCTTGTTACATGAATATATAGGCTGTTTAATTTGGTGGTCAGACACTCCAGGCTATTTTGTAAGCATTTTATAATGATGTGGCTTTCAACAAGTTACCTGAGTCTCAGTTTAACCAGAATGGGGTTTTCTGAAAATTAAACAAGTTAATTCCTGAGAATGCCTGCCCATTTCAAATACACTTAGCTTTGTTACTTCATCTCTGTGCTTCTGTTGGGAGCCCAGGTCCTCAGATCAGGCAAATTTGGATTGTGTAGTTTTGCTGCTTGTAGAGTAACTCTTGGTCAGTGACTTCATGTCTTTATATCTCAGTTTATTCATCTGTAATGTAGACACAATCACAATAGTCATTAAATGGTATGTTTTTGATTTGGGAGTCTAAAGAGGTGCTGTGTGTAGTCTAGGGGCCTGAAGTATACACTCCATACATGAGAAGCAGTCTCATTGTTCATTATCATCGGATCTATGTTAGGATGGTCTGGTCTACGCAGTTGAGTTCTCCCACCGCTCTGGCCGTGATCTTATCAACTTGGCCAAGAAGAGGACCAACATTATTCCCGTGATTGAGGATGCTCGACACCCGCACAAATACCGCATGCTCATCGGTGAGGAGTCTAGGGGGATGGCCCAGGGCAGGTAGGACAAGCCACTCCAGGTTTCCTGGAAGAATCAGTGGCGTTAGTGTGGAAGTGCAGGCCTCTTGAGTCTGCAGGAATGGAAAGCGGGGAGGGGAGCCAGGTGAGGTGGTGTTTGGTAACTGCTACAGGTGCCTGGAGCTGTCTGGGAAGCCCACTTCTTTGCTCTTCTCCCTGCTTCGTAGGTCCCCTGCACTTCCTGCCTCCTTCCAAAACATGGTACCTTTTACACTACCTTGGCTTCTGTTTAAAACGCCTCTTTCAGGGGGCCCTTATTGTTTGGTGACATTCTAGCACAAACTGAGTATGGCCTGGCCCCGAGGGGCCTATTATGAATATTAATGACTTTGGTTTTTTTTTTTTAAATTTAAAACTAGAGTGAAAAATAGCCTTATAAATTTCCCCGAGGTAATTAGTAAGAACATTTGCTATCTGCTTTTCCCAATTTTTACAGTTTTCATTATACTACTTTTTCATTTAAAAAAGAAAATCACACTGCCTTAAAAACATTACTTTTCATTCCACTCATTTTTCTTTGCTTTTTCCATGCCATCACCCCCGCTCTTGCTCTGCAGCTTGTTTTCATTTGACAGTCTTCCACGCGCTCTTGCCTTTAACTGCTCACCTTTACTTGTCTTTTTGATGACGTGTCTATCTCCCCCCCAGACCCGGGAGCATCTCGAGGGCAGGGTCCGGGTCTGACTCATCTCTATGTCCCCCACGCCCAGCCCAGGGCTGGCCACAGAGTAGGTGGCAACCATGGTTTACAAGAGGAGTGAATGAATGTTATGACTGTGGGCTTTGGACCCATCTTGGGGGGCACCATGGAGGGAGGGGGAGCAGTGAGGGTAGGGAGAGTGGAAGCAGGGAGACTCTCCCAGGAGCCTGCTGGTGGTGGAGCATAGGCCTCATGGGAGGGTCTGGGAAGATCTTTGGATCCAGCTTTTAACTGCTCCCCTCTCTCTTTAGCAATGGTGGATGTCATCTTTGCCGACGTGGCTCAGCCAGATCAAACCCGGATTGTGGCCTTGAATGCCCACACCTTCTTACGTAATGGAGGACACTTTGTGATTTCCATTAAGGTGGGGGCCTGGGGAGTGTCCTGGGGAGGTATGTTTTGGATTTAAGGAGGCAAGAGAGTGTGGGTGGTCAAGAGCATGATTGCTGAGTCTGACCATCTGAGTTTGAATTCTAGCTGTGTGACTTTGGGCAAGTTACTAAACCTTTGTGACTCAGCTTCTTCGCTTGTAACATTAGAAATATTAGTCCTATTATCTTTAAGAGTTAATATAAAAATCAGTCAACACGTGAAGAACAAAACCTGTCATAGAATAGATACTGGATAAATACTAGGTGCATTTTCAAAATGTGTTATAATTTAAAATGCAGAGAACTCCTATGGGTCTTTTCACTAGGTTTACCATCTGGTTTTTTTGTTTTGTTTTTTGTTTGTTTTTTTTGATACCGGGGATCAAACTTGGTCCTTGGCAGTGAAACCTACCATCTGTGATAGTAGCTTTTTGCTGTTTGTTTTACTGTTCCTGGCTGCATTACTACTAAGAGCAAGCAGAAAAAAAAATGCTGAATGTAAAGTTGTGGGGTTTTTTGTTTTTGTTCATTTTGTTTGTTGGTACTGGGGAATGAACACAAGCTCCTTACACCTTGATAGTTTCTTGCTAACTTGCCTAGGTGGTAAATTTTAGGTCTTCCTGCCTCAGTCTCCCTAAGTTCCGAGATTAAGGTGTGCCGCCACTGAGCCCTACTTAAACACTGATAAATAGAGGACATCTGGCCTCGAATTAAAAACTTTTCTAATTTAGTCTTTTTTTTTTTTTTAAATGGTGATAAAGTCTATTTGAAAAGGTGAATAGGGAGGGAGAACCTGGCTGTGCAGAGTCAGCTTGAGCCAAGTAAAAATGGAAAAAGCAAGATAAAAGTACACCCTGGAGGAAACAGGGTGGGCTGTCATGAAGAAACCAACAGTAGCTGTAATGAAGTCTTTGGGCACATTTCCAAAACCTAGATTTCACTTGAGTTTCTGATGAGAACATACTTCTGGCTTAAAAAGCATCATAAAGGAAAACAGCCCAGCGCTTGCTTCAGATCTCAAATCCTTTTTCTTCTGTAGGCCAACTGCATTGACTCCACAGCCTCAGCTGAGGCCGTGTTTGCTTCTGAAGTGAAGAAGATGCAGCAGGAGAACATGAAACCCCAGGAACAGCTGACCCTAGAGCCATATGAGAGAGACCACGCTGTGGTCGTGGGTGTGTACAGGTGAGCAGGGGCCCAGTAATCCACCAAGACAGAGCCTCCCGCCCCAATCCAGAGTGCTGTGGTTCTGGGGACTCCTAGAGTGGTGACAACTGTGACACTCCTCCCTCCCCATTCCTGTCTTTTACTCACAGGCCACCTCCCAAGGTGAAGAACTGAAGCTCAATGCGGTCAGGATTCCCAGAGATGTGTGTTGCTACTGTTGCACGTGTGATTTTTCTATTAAAAGACTCATCCCTTGCTCTGTTTACTGATTGTTCTGTAACCATCATAGGCAATAGGACGCAGGCGCCCTTGGTCATCTTTGCTTGGTGGGGGTTGAAAGTTTTATCAGGGCACGCAGCGCATGCTCCATTCCTAGTTGTCTCTTGCACAGCGGTAACTGATTTCGGCATTTGGGCGCGATTGGTAGCTCACTTCGCGTGTGCGCCAGCAAGCATCCAGAGAGCGCAGGCGCAGTGTTACTCTGGTCACGTGAAGGGAGCGGATGGGAGGGTAGGGGCGGAGCTCGGGTGGAGGGGGGGCGGTTTGTTGTGGTCGCCATTTTTCTGGTTGCATTACTGGGTAATCGGGGCCCTGGCACGCCGCGTCCGCCGGATACCTTCCGCCCGTGGGCAGGTCTGAGCTCGGCCTCCCCGAGCAGTTTTGAGTCCCCTTACCCGCGCCCTCAGGTAATTACTGGGCGATAGGCGGGGCGGCATTCGTTCACCGGGAGAAGGGGCGATCGGGACCCGCCCTGTCTGCGTCCCCGGAGACTTAGCACGAGGCTGAGGGAGAAGAGGGGGGTGTCGGGCAGGTGCGGGCTGTGCCTGGCTATTCATAGTCGGATTCCTGGAAGGGGCTGAGCCCTTAGGGAGCCCTCTAGAGAAGGAGGTTGGGAGGGGGTAGCTGGGCCCCACTCCCGCCCTTTGTTTGGGCTCGGTCTTTGCTCCGCCGGCCGCTTCGTCGTCGCCTAGCAACAGCTGCCCTGGGTAGTGATTGGCTGAGTTCCTTGCAGCAACGACCAATGGAGCGGTTGTTGCCATGGGAGGTGCGGCTTCCCAAACTCTCAGTTGGGCCCCGCCTGCCCGGTCTTCACCGGCCGGGGCAGTCCTCCTAGGTTGGGGGGGCGGGACACCCGGGTCTCTGGGGGCGGGTGGCCACTCAGGGCAGGGCGGGGCCGGCTGTGCGAGGGTTAACCCTCCCTTCCCCCGTCCACCTGCTTTCCCTTCCCCCGCGTGCCCTGAGCTGACCTTAGTCCGCTCCTTTCCCCGCCCCTGGCGGCGGCGGTGCGCGGCGCCCGCGGCTGTTGTCACCCACCCGGCTGCCTGTCCTTGTCCTCACCGCGGGGTTTGCCGCCCCGGCCGGGCAGGAAACCGACGGCTGCCTTACCACCACCACCACCGCCATGCTGGCTGCTCGCCCACATCACTGGGGACCCCACCGCGCCCCAGCCCCTCGTGGGCCCCGCACCAGCCCTGACCCGGGTAGGGGGTGGGGCTGGGAGTGACATTCCTAGTGTGGGAGGACCCCTGGAAAGATGTACTTTTGGGGGCAAGTTCCGAGGGAGGTGGGGTTCTGGAGTGCAAGGCATGGGATTGAAGGGATCTGACACGGGTGAGGTGCACTTAGAGAATTTTGTTGTAGCGGACACTCTGGGAAGAGAACCCTATGTGATATTTGGGGATAGGCTAGGGGGACCTTCTAGGAATAGGTGCAGTTGTGCAGTGATCCCGGTATATAGAGGGGTAACTGGAGAAAGGACTCTAGTAGGAATATTGGAAGAAGGGAGGACAAGGACCCAGTGTAGAGGAGAAAGGGACGATCACTCTAACTTGTAAGAAAAGAGACCTCTCTTTTGCCTCTATGAGGAGTGGCCTTTGGCTGGGAGAGGACCTTGAATATGGGGTAGATCCCTGACATGGCACAGAATCTGAAATACAGTATAGAGACTACCTGGAGGGATGGTCCCTGGTGTGGGAAGACCTGATCCAGGGAGGAGGACTTGGTGTGACATGGAGAGGGTCCTTTGAAAAGCTGTGCCCTGGTTGAGAAAACCACAGTAGTAAGACTTAATGTAGAGATTCTCAGGTAACCTTGATGTGGCCAGGAGGTCTTGAGGACCCTGATACAGCTGTAGGGGCCTCAGAGGACTCTACCGTAACCTGGGGATCCCAGAGAGTTTATGTGGTTTGAGTGAACTCAGAGTTCTCTGTGAACTGGGAAAAATCTACTGGGAAGAGTAGACTTGGGGTGGAGGGAGTTCGTTATGGTGCCAGAGGAGATCCTGATGTTCAAGAAGACTACAAGAGGATAGGCTCTTGTGTGAAGGCCCCTGGGAAGAGCCAGGAGTAGAAACAAGAAGAAAGAATGAATTCTGCCCAGACTACTTTCTTCTCTTTTCTTCTTCCCAATCACTTGTGTCTGTCTTCCTTTCCTGTCATGGCCCATGTCCATCCCTCCCACCCCTGTCTGACTGACTCCCAATCACTCTCTTTTACATGTTGTTTGTGCTGCTGCATTCATTTATTTGGTCATCACTTGTTGAGGGACTCTCTTGTGCCACTCTACCTGCCTGTCCCTTCACTGTGCTCCCCTCTGCATTATTACCTGTTGCTCTTTTGCACTCTTTGTCGTCTCCCTCTGTACCCTGCCTCTGTACTTCTCATGCCTATCTTCCCTGCCTGGCACTGTCCCACACATCCCTTGTTGCATATTGTTTTCACACCTCCTGCCTACTCAGGTCTCAGCGGCGGTGGCAGCCGAGGTACAGGATGCGAGAAGGCGCCCCCCGGCCGGGCTCCCGCTCCAGGCCTCGCACCCCTGCGGCCCTCTGAGTCCACCATGGCCGTCCCACCAGGCCATGGGCCCTTCTCTGGCTTCCCGGTGCCCCAGGAGCACATGCAGGTAGGCATTCAGCTGGCTCCTCACCTGTCTAGGGGTAGGAGGAGGCTGGAAATGGAAGAGTCTCAGGGCCAAAAGCTACTGTGGTTGTATACGACAGTCTCTAAGGGACATCACCAGCCCCATAGAAGTAGAAAAGTTTTAAGCAGTCCCTTTGGAGAGCCTTGGTTCAAATCCTGATGTGATAGCTAAATTACTTAAGTTCTTCATACTTTCGTTTTCTGTTCTGTGAATGGGGCCAATGATGATACCTCCTTCAGAGGGTGATTGTCAGGATTAAACAGGTTAATGAAAGACAGTAGATGTAAAATGCTAAGAATGTTGCCCAGCACATAGCAAACATTGAATAAGTATTCACCGAGAAGGACATCCAGACAGAAAGATGGGGAGGGAGGTTGAGTCTGAAGTCTTGGCTACAGGGCCAGGGTGGTATAGGATGAAGAGCTCAGAGGATAGAAGTGGAAAGGCTCTGAAATGGAGAGCTTGGAGTAAGATGCAGTGGGAGGTCCAGGGTGCCAGATCCCAGTCCAAGTGCCTTGGGGACTGGGCAGAGGTGCTCAGAGTTGGAGGTGAGGGTTGGGAATGTCCCAAAGGGTGAGGGTAAATAGACTTGGGGATATTTCAGAGGGAGAATTCCCAGAATAGATGGTCTCAGGTAGAAGGATTGAGGGACAGAGTCCAGGTTTCCCATATGGAGGTTAGAAATGGGTAAGGTTATGGAAAGCCCGATACAGGGTCTGGGTGAAAAGTCAAGGGTAAATCATTCAGTCCATTTGCAGGGGAGATCTCCAGTGAGTGGTCACTGTGGGGCAACCCCTGCCCAAGGTACTGGGAATAAACAAGGACAAGACCTCCATTCTTGCCCTTGGCTAGTTTATATTCTCATATGGGAGCCAGTCAGTGGCCAGATAAATGTGTGTGGTCTAGATATGCCGGCAGCCCACTTAGTTCTGGAGGTCCAAAGGTGAAGGCCTGTCCTCTTGCCCCTTGCCCTGCCCCACAGGTATTGCCTGATGTGCAACTGCTGCCTGGGAGGCTGCCCCTGGCCTTCCGGGATGCAGCCTCAGCCCCGCTGCGCAAGCTCTCTGTGGACCTCATCAAGACCTACAAGCACATCAATGAGGTGGGCAGGGCTGGGCTGAGGTGGGTTCTGGGCTGTGTGCTGGGCGTCTTGCTGCTGGCCCAGGTCACTCATCAGTCCCTGTCTCTTGGTTGGCTGGCTGGGCAGGTATACTATGCGAAGAAGAAGCGGCGGGCCCAGCAGGTACCACCCCAGGACTCAAGTACCAAGAAGGAGAAGAAGGTCCTGAACCACGGTTATGATGATGACAACCATGACTACATTGTGCGCAGTGGTGAGCGCTGGCTGGAGCGCTATGAAATTGACTCTCTCATAGGCAAAGGCTCCTTTGGCCAGGTGAGGACAACCACCAATCTGGTCCAGGGATTGAGGGGTACAGGCACCCACTAACATTGGCCCATATACCCAGGGGCTTAGTGACTTCAAGTTCTGTACTTGACCACTCTTCCCAGCCTTATTACTTAGTTTCACTGAACTATGGTTCAGTTTCCTTTTCTGTAAAAGTACAAGTAACATGACTCTTCACATAAGGGAATTGTGTTATTTCATATCCCATGTTTATGCCAGTGCCTGGCTGTTGGTGAGCACACAGCTGTGCATTAATAGTGTTAGTGACAGTGTGATTGGTGGGTCTCCCTGCCAGAAGAAGAAGAGCAGGGACTGCCCCTGCCTCCACTGGTGATATGCCTGACCCTTAACAGGTGGTGAAAGCCTATGATCATCAGACCCAGGAGCTGGTGGCCATCAAGATCATCAAGAACAAAAAGGCATTCCTGAACCAGGCCCAGATTGAGCTGCGGCTGCTAGAGCTGATGAACCAGCACGACACGGAGATGAAGTACTACATAGGTGAGGCTGGGGGTGGTGGGTGCCTGGTGCAAAGGCCTGGGGGTAGGGATGGTCACCCTCAGTCCTGGAGGAGCTCGTTTCTTCAGGGCAGGGCTCTCTGTGTGCCTCCCTGCCTCAGTGATTGTCCCAATTCCTTCATGGTTTTTGCCCATTCACCTGACATTGGTCAGAGTTTACATTGGTCAGAGTTTACGGTGATCTTATAGAGCCAGGCTCTGTTGCAGGCACTTTATATGAATTACTTCCCCTATGAGGAGATAACATCCTTACATGTGGAGATAAGAAACCCAGGCATCCAGTGTTGTCGCTTGCGTGAGGAGATAGTTTGTACTCAGCAGAGCTATAACTGATGAGGTTGTAGACTCTTGAGCCTTGATTCTTAAAACTGTGCCAGTCTTCCTCCTTTCTTACACTGATTCCTCTTTCTTTTTGAAAGGAAAGTTTACATCCTTACTGTAATTGGAAAATCAGTGTCTTTAAACATAGGATAAAAAAGATCGAGGAAGTGTGGAAATGTATTGAACATCTACTAGCTAACAGATCTAGAAACTAACAGAAACTTCTCTTTGGTTTAATTAGAAGGTTTGACAGACTTGAAAGAGCTTCTTGGGTGAATCAAGATAGATACCATGTAGAAACACTGTGATTAGGTACCCAGGGGCATGCCGTACTTTGGCCAGTGTGCAGGAGGTAGAAGCACTCACAACTTTGTGACTCCAGGCCACTACTGGCCTTCTCTGAACCTGTTTCTTTGTCATTTGTTTCTGTCTTTCGCCTTGTAGTGCACCTGAAGCGGCACTTCATGTTCCGGAACCACCTGTGCCTGGTGTTTGAGCTGCTGTCCTACAACCTGTATGACCTCCTACGCAATACACACTTCCGTGGCGTCTCGCTGAACCTGACCCGGAAGCTGGCACAGCAGCTCTGCACAGCGCTGCTCTTTCTGGCCACACCTGAGCTCAGCATCATTCACTGCGACCTCAAGCCTGAGAACATCCTGCTCTGCAACCCTAAGCGCAGCGCCATCAAGATTGTGGACTTTGGCAGCTCCTGCCAGCTTGGCCAGAGGGTGCGGCTCAGACTGGGGTGGGGGGCGGGTGGGAAAAAGTCATGGTGTGGGTTTGGCCAGGTGAGGGCAGAGCCAGCCAGGCCATGAGGGCGGATGCCTGAGAGTTAGCGCTTGACATGGGATGTTGGTGGTACAATTGGGAAGAGTAGGGCCGGCCAGTGGATGACGGAGGTAGAGAAGAGGCCCACTGGGGAGGGCAAAGGTGACCCTGATGGGGCAGGGTTGTTCTGAAGCTCCAGATGAGGGCAGGTGAAGTTGCTTGGGTCCAAGCCTGGGGTGCTCCTTTGCTAAGTTGTTTCTTCTGTCCTCTTGAAGCTAGGGGTGGAGAGGCCTTCAGTTTCACAGCTTCCTGTGAGCGAACATTAAAGTGATACTTGTGTAGAGCCTTGGGAACTGCCAGCCTGTGACTGGTGTTCAATAGGAGGCCAGGGCTAGGGATGGAGTTAGGGCTAGACCAGCCTAGCAGAGACTTCGCAGGCTGATGAACAAGATAGTGGCAGAAGCTTTAGGAGGGTTAGTGCTAAGGATGTCAGAATGTGGAAATTCCACATTAGAGAGAAGGGGTCTTGACCTCAGATGGGTCCTCTTAGCTTTTGGGGTACCAGTGGGACCAGTAGGAGAGGCTGGGACCCCTGACTTTTGACCTCATTCCAGATCTACCAGTATATCCAGAGCCGCTTCTACCGCTCCCCTGAGGTGCTCCTGGGCACGCCCTACGACCTGGCCATTGACATGTGGTCCCTGGGCTGCATCCTGGTGGAGATGCACACGGGAGAGCCCCTGTTCAGCGGCTCCAATGAGGTGCGCCCCCAGGAAGGGCTGTGCTGGAGGTGGAGGGGTGGAGCCTGGCTGGCCCGGTGCCCCTGACCACCACCTGCCCGCAGGTGGACCAGATGAGCCGCATCGTGGAGGTGCTGGGGATCCCACCAGCCCCCATGCTGGAGCAGGCACCCAAGGCTCGAAAGTACTTTGAGCGACTGCCTGGGGGTGGCTGGACCCTACGACGGACAAAGGAACTCAGGAAGGTGCGGCCCCTGCCCCATGCCACTCCTCCCACCTTGGGTGACCCCTCACTTTCACACTTGGGGCTCCCTCTCGCCCTGCCACCTCTCCCTGTGTCTTTCCCTTTCTTCCTCTTCCCTTTGTCTGTCCCTTTATTCCCTGCCCACCCTAGTTGTCCTTCCCACCCTACAACTCTTCTTAGCTTCTTTTTCCACTTTCTTTCCTGTGCCTCTGTTTCCCTGTGTGTGTCTCCCTGCCCCTCCTGCCCACTGACGGCCACTCTCTTGCCCCCCCTCCCCCCCCTCCCTGCCAGGATTACCAGGGCCCTGGGACACGGCGGCTGCAGGAGGTGCTGGGCGTGCAGACGGGCGGGCCCGGGGGCCGGCGGGCGGGGGAGCCGGGCCACAGCCCCGCCGACTACCTCCGCTTCCAGGACCTGGTGCTGCGCATGCTGGAGTATGAGCCTGCCACCCGCATCAGCCCTTTGGGGGCTCTGCAGCACGGTTTCTTCCGCCGCACTGCCGACGAGGCCACCAACACAGGCCCGGCAGGCAGCAGTGCCTCCACCTCACCCACACCCCTCGACACCTGTCCCTCCTCTAGTACCGCCAGCTCCATCTCCAGCTCTGGTGGGTGCCCAGTGCCTAGATGGGGTGCAGCAGGGTGGGGGCAGCTCTGTTTGGCTCAGCCTAGGGCATCTTGTCCCTAGGCCTCACATGGGAGATTTGAAACAGCCTAATTCTGAACTCCAAAATAAGGTGGGAGGAGAGCCTCATGTGGCCCTGACATGATGTCTTAAAACTCTGTCTGGGCTCAGACCCCTAAAGTTGACCTGACATCCAAAACTGAACTCTCAACTTGTATTTCAAAACTGGGCGGGGCCCTTCAAATGTGCTTTGGTTCCAGAGCACAAATGTGGGCCAGGCTGTGAACCAGACTTAGCCACTTTAAACGCCAGCCACCCCATCTTCTTATCTGTGGCCACTTTTCTTCTTCCTGACACTTTCAGGAGGCTCCAGTGGCTCCTCCAGTGACAACCGGACCTACCGCTACAGCAACCGATATTGCGGGGGCCCTGGGCCCCCCATCACTGACTGTGAGATGAACAGCCCCCAGGTACTACGGCTTTGAGGGCTTTGACGATGTATGGTGGGGAGCCTGGGGTTTTAGGACTGGGTCTCCTTTACCCACTGCTCCTTTGCTTTTTTAGGTCCCACCCTCCCAGCTGCTGCGCCCCTGGGCAGGGGGTGATGTGCCTCACAAGACACATCAAGTCCCTACCTCTGCCTCATCACTGCCGGGGACTGGGGCCCAGTTACCCCCCCAATCCCGATGCCTTGGCCGTCCCCCATCACCAACCTCATCACCACCCCCGGAGCTGATGGATGTGAGCCTGGTGGGCGGCCCTCCAGACTGCTCCCCACCTCACCCAGCGCCTGCCCCCCAGCACCCGGCTGCCTCAGCCCTCCGGACTCGGATGACAGGAGGTCGTCCACCTCTCCCACCCCCTGATGACCCTGCCACTCTGGGGGCTCGCTTGGGCCTCCGTGGTGTACCCCAGAGCACAGCAGCCAGCTCATGACCCTGCCCCCTCTCTGGGTCCCCTCCTGAAGCCATACCCCCTCCCCATCTGGGGGCCCTGGGCTCCCATCCTCATCTCTCCCCTTGACTGGAATTGCTGCTACCCAGCTGGGGTGGGTGAGGCCTGCACTGATTGGGCCCAGGGCAGGGGGTCAAGGAGAGGGGTTTGGCCACACTCTCCCCACTAAGGACTGGACCCTTGGCCCCCTCTCCCCCCTTGTTTTCTATTTATTGTACCAAAGACAGTGGTGGTCCGGTGGAGGGGAGACTCCCCTTACCCTAGGGCCCTAGGAGGGGGTGGGGGCAGGTAGGGGGAGATGGCCTTGCTCCTCCTCGCTGTACCCCCCAGTAAAGAGCTTTCTCACATGCCTGCCTGAGCGTTTGCAGGGCCTTGGTCCCCTCACCCGACCCTCAGAGGCATGGTGGGGCAGGGTTTGGGAAAGGGGGTTCCAGAAGAGCTCTGGTGTTGATACATCCCTTCTGGGGAAGTTACGGCTGTTGACAGAGGCATGGGGCTGCAGGAGTCCTGGAGCTAAAGAATCCTGGATAGGGTCCTGGACCGTATTTGCCTTTTTCAGGGTAAACTGAGACCATGAAGGAGTAAATTCCCCCTTCTGGCCTGTCTCTGGGAAACACTATGTTATGCCCTCATAAATCAGGGCTCCCGGAGTCTGCACAAGAGCAACTCCTACCAGGCAGGCATCCAGTAGGTGTTGGGTGCCCTTGGCAGGGCTTGTTTGTGCCATCTGGGAGCAGGCAGGCAGTGGGTACAGACAATCCACACGTCTGGTTCCATCCTTTGGAATTGCGGAGCAAAGCATTTTGAGAGGCTCAGGCAAAAAGATACTCCCTGGGTTCCAGGTAAGTGGTCTTGTTTCCATGGCAGTTTGGAAATTTCTGTCTCCCAACGGGCCAATCAAGAATCGCCTGGTTCAAAGGGTAGGTTATCTCCCCATTGGGGCGCGGCTGTTCCTGGGAAATGGAGTTCTACATGGCAATCTCCTTACTTCCTTTTTTTTTTTTTTTTTTAAATACATGGAGAACTACAAAGACCAGAATTCTCTTCGCTCACACGCTTGGGGGAGGGTTCTCGGGAAGCAAATCAGCGGTGGGGGGCAGCTGAAAGCCGGATGTTGGAGGCGGGTCGGTAGAGGTAGAGAGCCCATGATTGGGTGGTTTTGCTTTGTGCGCTGCCTAGGTGCCGAGTTTTGCTGGGTGTACGAAAGGTGGACTTGGGCTAAGAGGGCGGAGCGCACAGGTTAGACTTGGGCAATTTCAGAGCAACTTCGTGGGCACTGAAACCTGAAGTGGCTGCGTTGTGCGGTGTACCAATGCCCAGTCTGTCCGGGTTAGGACGTGGGCGACGGATCTGTACCTGTTGACCAATGAGAACTTGAGATGCCGTGGGAACCCAGAGAAAACATGGGTAGGGAGATCTTCCTGGAAAGGTAGGACCTATCTTAGTTGAGATCGGAAAACGAAAAAAATGTATTGGGGATGGTATGGTAGAACGGCATGCGCAAAAGCAGCATGGGAAAGGGTCTGTGTTTTGTGAGCTGGAGGTGATTGGGTGGTTCTAGAGATCATTTTGAAAGTTCTGAGTAGATTCAGTTGTGGCAGATTTTCTTGGTCTAGGGAGCTGGACTTTGTCCTGAAAGCAATGAGGAGCCATGAGAGGATTTCAGGAAGATAAAGGGCATTGCCCAGTTTCCTGCGATATGAGAATAAGTAGATTGACTGAAAAGAAACTAGGGTCTGACAGCTGTAACAGGTTCCTAGGCAAGAGATGCTATGGGTGAATTAGGGCAGGGCCAGGCTAGGGAGTGCAGGAGTAGGCGGGTGAATTGACAGGATGAGTGGGAGGGGGAGGAAGAGGGGGGGAAGAATAGCTCCTGTGCTCACCCTCTGACACTTAGATTCTCCATAAGTTTTTTTTCTTTTTTGTTTTGTGGTTCTAGGGATTAAACCCAGGCCCTTGTGCATGCAGGGTAAGCGCTTACCACCGAGTCACACTCCCTCTGCCTCAGTAAAAATATTTTGAATGAACAGTACTAGGAGGCAGGTACTATTGTGATCTCTCTTTTGTAAATGAGGATTCTGAGGGCCGAAGCGATTCAGTAACTTGTCCAAGATCATACAGTTACCCTGGAAAGTAGGCTCAGGGTGTGTGTGTGTGTGTGTGTGTGTGTGTGTGTGTGTGTGTGTGTTTAAGAACTTTTGACTTAACAGTGCAAAATGAGCCTAGAGACACCATCAGGGGCCAGATCGTGTAGGTCTTGTAAGGAATTTGGGATAGGCACAGAAATATAAACCTCGCATTTCTGTTTCCAGCCCAGGATCTCACCCCTGAGCTCCTGGCTGACTGCCTATCAGATACTTCTTTGTTTATCTAGAAGTATCTGCACAGTAATCTGGGTCACACTGAACTACTATGGCAATCTCCTCAGTGATCTTCTTGCTCCCACCCCTCCTGCTACAGTCTGTTCCTCATAGGAAGCTAGAGGGACTCTATGAGCACCTGCATCAGGTCATATCCTTCCAGTGCTCAGTACCCTTCCATAGCACCATCTCATTCAAGTGAAAAGCCAAAGTCTTATCCATGGTCTGTAAGGCCTTGCACAATCTGCTCTTCTTATCTCTCTGACAAGGTGAACTATCCTTGCTTACTCTGCTCCAGACACATTGGCCTCAGTGCCTTTGCACTTGCCGTTCCATTTGCCTGGAATGCTCATCTTTCAGATAATGTCAGATTCTTTCCTTCATCTGCTTTAGGCCTTCACTCAGATGTCACTTTCTTCTGGAAATTTTTCCTGAGCATCTTTCTAAAATCATAGGACTAACATCCATATCGACTTTTTCTTCTGGAACTTTTTTCTTCTGTTAATTATATCACTGTTAATATACCATACAATTTAACTAGTTTATTCTACTCCTACCCCTATGCCAGAGATCATCAGCTTTATGTCTACTTTGTGCTTTATCTGCAATACCTAGGAGTGCTTGGTGCACAGGAGGGCTCACTAGTTTTATCAGATGAACAATTTCAGAGCATAGATTTGGATTCCAGCATGATGGGGAACTCTGTCCATCCCCTTTCTGTACACCTTAAACTTTTCTGAGGGCCTAAGATGTTTAACAGATACTTCATCCTGCCTCTGCTTTATGCTTGGTGTTGGGAACACAACAGAGACCAGAATAGTTTTCTTGCCCCCAAAGAACTCAGTCTCAGCAGTGAGGGTTCAGAAGGTCAAATAATTACACAAATGTGAAATTACAAAGAAAGGCAGAGGGTGCTGTGTGAACACTTGATAGGTAGTCTAATCTGGACCCAAGGAAGAGCTTTGAGGCCATCAAGGAGTTGGCATTACTCCAGTAAGGGAGAAGAGTGTGTGATACTTAGAACCTAGAGGCCGAGGTGGAGCAAGAGGTCAGACTGTGTTACTCCTGTAAGGAGTTTGGGTCCTAGCTGCATGTGTAGTAGGAAGTTGTAGAGTAATTTTAAGTATTATGCCAGAAGGGAACACAGTGGATTCTGTATTTCAAAAAATTCCTCTACTTTAGCTGATGTGCCAGGTGTGGGGGTGATGCCATCTTTCGTATCCTAACCCAACAGCCACCTGATTCTCTGGAGTAGACAAGCCATCTGAAGGCCCCTCATCTGCTGAGTCTTGCCCAGACTGCAGAATCATAAGCAGATAACTAGCTGCTATTTTATGGTACTGTGTTTTAGGGTCATTTGTTATGCAGCAGTGGCTAACAAAAACAGGTTAATATTTTTTGAGATCTTACCACTTTCTATATTAGCTCATTGAATTCTCAAAGCCACTCTAAGTAGCACTGTTATTTTTTCTATTCTACAGATGAGAAAGTGAAGGCATGGAGCTGATAAAGTACTAGCAAGGTACCTGGCCCATACTACACCCAGAATATATAATAGCTATTATCAGCATTAGAGTTTTCATAATTATTACAGAAGTGGTAGCCAGGTGAATACTAGCATTTTGCACTCACTGCTGTAGGCTATTTTCTTGGAAGGACTAGTAGAGATGAAAAGGCGTCAGGTCCTTGGTGATACTGATGGAGTGTCAGATCAGGCCTCAGCTCGAGCAAGTTACTCCTGGACTTTCTCAGCAGGGACTCCATATATCTGTGTGAGCTTCCTATTACTTGGAACCCTAAACATCCTAACTGATCCTATGTTGTCTTTTTGTGCATGTGTGTGCATGCGTGTGGTGTTGGTGATGAAACTAAGGAACTTACACATGCTAGGCAAGTGCTCTGCCATATATATCACCCCCTCCCGCATCTTAATTTATTTTCTGATTCATCAGATATTGGGTACTTATTACATGCCAAACACTGTTTAAGGTGCTAGTGCTATAATAACAAGCAAGACACTGAAAAGGCCTATCCTCATGAAGCCTACATTGTAGTGGGCAAGGTGACAGATAAATACTGGTGTAAAGAGTTACGAAATTTGGGGATTGGAGTGATAGAGAGTGACAAGTGGGGTTATTTTGGGTGGAGGGGTTAGAGATGTGTTTGAGGAAAATCTTAGTGGAAGACCTGATCAAAAGGGAGGAAGCCTTTTGTACAAATATTTTGTACAAAGTACAAATATTTTGAGAGAAAAGGACATTCTAGTTGGTGGTGGGGTACCCCAGCATGTTCAGAGGCCCTGGGGCATATTTGGTGTGTTTTAGAGGGGTAGAAAGGCCTGAATGAACAATGTGGGAGGGAAGGAGACAGGGCAAGGTTACGTGGTGCCTGATAGGCCATGGTAAGGACTAGACACTGGTGCTGAGTGGGATGGGAAGCAATCAGAATATTTAGGCTGAAATGATGTGATCTAAGGTTCTTTCCTCTGGTTGCAGTGTGGATGCTAGTAGGACTCCAGTGGAGAGGCCACTGCCATAGTCCGGCTGAGCGATGCTGGGGGCTTAGCCAGGGTGGTAGCAGAAGATGCGGTCAGATGTTGGATATAATTTGAGGGAGAATTCACAGGACTGGGACTGTTGGTGCGAGATGAGAAAGAGTAGTCAAGGGCAACCTGAGCAGAAGAAGGAGGGAGTGCTAGTAACTGTATGGAGAAGACTAATGGAGGAACTCACTGAGCAAGTGAGGGTTATTTGTACCAGCCTAGCCTTCCGGTCAGGCCTGGGCTTGGAAGTGGTTGGCATGTTGGTGGTGTGAAAGCCCAGGATGAGCTCACTTGAGGGAGAGAGAGTGGATGGAAATGAAGTTTGAGAATGAGAGCAGGGAGGCACAGAAAGAGGTGGGAGCTGCAACCCTGGTGAGAGCTGACGGTGCATAGACGGAGGCTGGGCAGGGGGTTATGGAGTTGTTGAAGCCTGGGTAAATTTGGAATGCAGGGCCCACAGTGGATTGATTGGGAATAGTGACAGGAGGAAATGGAAAAGAGCCTCATGAGAACATAACAGAACGTGGATCAGGACCTTGGCTTTCCCCTCCACTCCTGGGCTCTGTGGCCTCTGCTTTGCTTGCTGGCCCTGGGAGAACTGTTGCCCCGAGCCTGTGTGACCGTCCAGTTTTGTTCCCCATAGGTCTTTGGTCCTCCTTCCAAACTTTCCATGCAGGAGCTGAATGGCTGGAAGGTTCCTGCTCTGATGTGTGAATGCTGTGAAGGACGGTAGACTGGGCAGCCACCCCAAATATTCATAGTTACAATGAGTTTCTGACAGTGGGTGTGTGTAGCGGGGTGAGGGGATCTGAACCTGTTTTGGTAGATGTGTGGAATGGACCATCTGTGTTGCCTCAGGTGTGTCTGGATTGGGTCAGTGCTGTAGAGGACACTAGGAGAGCTCTGGGCTGAGAAGGGTCAAAGGTCAGGTTGAGGGGATCCAGGCCCAGCTTCTGCCTGCCTGTAGGTATTTGCAGTGCGGTCACAGAGATGAGTTGTTTGCAACTGAGCAGGACTTAGAGATGATTGAGTCCGCCTCTGCCCTCAGAGTGCACAGTCCAGCAGCAGACAGCAGTCACAACAGGGACGGGGAGGCCCGGGCAGAGGGTTTGGGACAGGATAGGGCAGCACAGGGGGCTGTGGAACCCAGAGATGATACCTGATGCCAGTCTGAGGTGTCGGGAAAGACTTCTGGAAGAGGGGACATGTGAGATGAGATGTCAGGAGTCAAATAAAGGGCAGTTAGGAATGCAGTCAGTGACTGCTGGTAGCCAAGTTAATAGAGTCTAGAAATGTTTTCTGAGCCTTTTTAAAAGAAAAAAAAATTTTTTTTTAGATTTGCAGAAAAGCTTCAAAGGCTTCCCATCTACCTACACTCAGCTTCCCTACTGTCAGCCTCTTATACAATTGTGGTATGACACGTTTGTCAAAGTTGAGAAACTAACACTGATTAGTGTTCTATTAAACTCCAGACTTGATTCACATTTCTCTCGTTTTTCCACTAATGTTCTCTTTCTGTTCCAGGATCCAATCCAGGATACCATGTTGCATTTATTCACCATGTCTCCTTTGTGTCCTCCACTCTGTGACAGTGTCTCAGTCTTATCTTGTTTTTCATTACCTTGACAGTTTTGAGGAGTACTGGTCAGGTATTTTGTAGACACTCCCTCCAACTGGGTTTGTCTGATGTTTTTTATAGGTTAGATTGGAATTAAAGGTTTTGGGAAGAATGCTCGCCGAGATGATATTAATTTTGATCCCTTCACTAATGTGAAGCTTTGTAAGCTTCTCAACTGTAATATTACTATTTTTCCTTTTCCTTCCTCTATTCATTGGAAGTCAGTTGCTAAATTCAGCCCACACTCAAAGGGAGGAGTATTAAGTTCCAGTTCCTAGAGAGAAAAATATCAAAAGAACTTGTCTTCATTTGTTAAAACTACTACAGTGTATTAATCTGTTTTCTATTGCTATAATTGTTGTATCTGAGGCTGGGTCATGTATAAAGAAGAGATTTATTTAGTTCACAGTTTTGGAGGCTGAAATCCCAAGATTGGGTGGCCCCATTTGTTTGGCCTCTGGTGAGGGCCTCATGGCAGTGGCATCGTGGCAGGAGTCACATGGTGAGACAGGAAGCTGGAGAGTGGGCAGGGCCTGTAACCCACTCACATGGGAGCTAGTGAGGATCCCTCCAGGACTACTTAGTCCCTTCCGAGGTGATGCTCCCAGTGACCTAATCACCCCCACTAAGTGCCCGCTTACCACCTCTCACATTACTGCACTGAGAACCGAGCCTCCACACAGACGTTTGAGGGACACCTTCTAACCTTATCCAAACCACTGCACACAGTAGTTACTAATATGGGGAGGAGATTTTGAGGCTATGCAAATGTCCTGTTTCTCCTTAATGGTTCACTCACTAATTTTAGCATTCATCAGTGGATCTCCTGTAGCAATTATTGCTGTGGTATTCTAACAATAACTTCCTATTTTCCTCTTGCGTTTACATTTACTGTTTTCAGTTCTATATGGAATATTTTCCCTTTCTGTATGTGTTTCACTTAAACAGTGATATCAGTATGGACTCATGGATATTTATTATGTTCTTTGGGTATAAGCCAATGTTATTGTAAGTCTCTCCCCCTCCCACCCCAGGTTGTTTTAGTTTTGGTCATCAGGACCCTTTCAGATTGGCTCTTATGTTTTTTGTTTGTTTAGTTTTTTGAGATAGAGTCTTGCTGTGTAATTCAGGCTGGCCTTGAACTCACTCTGTAGCCCAGGTTGGCCTTGAACTCACAGCATCCTCCTGCCTCAGCCTCCCAAGTACGGGGATCACAGGCGTGCACCACCACACCTGGTTCTTGTGTTCTTTTTTGTTTTTCTTAAGCACCTTCTTCTAGCACAGCAAGATAGATATCCCTGGCTTATATTGGATTTTCCTTTTATTGGAGAATGGTATTAGAAACTAAGGTCTAAGCACAGGCATGCTCATTGTTACTGGAATGGCACTGTTTCTTATCTTCAGCTGGCAGAACTGGGGAATCAGAGCATGAGTACAAACCCATGTGTGTATATATCTCTGTATTTGTGTGTGTGTGTGTGTGTGTAAAAATAAGCATGAGCCAGGTGTGGTGGCCCATGCCTTTAATCTCAGCTATTTGAGAGGTGGAGACCAGATGATTGCACATTTGAGGACAGCCTGAGCAACTTAGCAAGGCCCTGTTTCAGAACAAAAAGCACTCAGTGGTAGGGCACTTGCCTAGCATATGTGAAGCCCTGGGTTCAATCCCCAGTACCATGAAAAATAATAATAATGAAAAGAAATAAGCATGAGTTCATACTGGTATCAGACTGGTGCAGCACTGGAGGCTTCTTTCTCATCTGACCCCGCCCCTGCTATCCTTATAACGTCTTCCTCTGACTGAGAAACCTGGCTTGGTGTGTGCTGTGTAGCGGTCCTCTTCATGGTCATCTTAGTGGGACTCGGCAGTGCTGGCCCTTCTGCCTTCTCCTCATGTGCTTGTGCTGCTGTCCCCACACACTTCTCCTGGGTTTTGCTTCTTTGCACTGCAATTCCTGCATTTTCACTGATTTCTTATTTGTGGGAGCTCTGTTATTTTACCACCATCACCACTATCCTACTCTCTTTTATACTGTGTTTCTTGTCTCAGTGTGATGTCACCCACTCTCTGACCTTAGCCCTGTCCTCTTCTCTGAGCCCAGGTCTTGGAGGTCCTGAGGCCTCATGGAAACCCATCCCTGACCCATTCTTGGACCCCTAACATGCACCGTGTCCTAAATCCAGTCAGTTCCTCATCTGTCTCACGTGGCCCTTCTGTCCTCCCTACTCCAGGCTCCAAGAGAGCACAGGTGTCCGCCGTCCTGAATGCCTCCCTCCCCATCTCCAACCCAGCCTGGCCCATTCAACCTTCTTGGTGTGTCCCCCAGGACTCCTGACATCTCTCATCCCTGCCATCTGCTCTCTGTCCACTGCTTGGCCTTGTCCAGCCCTGTCCTCTGCCTGGCCTCCTCTCTGGCCTCCTAGCCCTCCTCTCTCAGTCCAGGTAAACCCCTGGTAGAGGAGAAAATTAATAAGAAAAGTTGCATTGTGGTTTAGTTTAAAAGGAAAAAACTTTCAGGAACTGCTTTATTACTTTAAAAATTCTACAGCAGTCAGAAGAGAACAGAAGTATATTTCTCTGTGCTCCATAAGCCAGAATTAGCTTTTTTTTTTTTTTTTGGTACTGGGGATCGAACTCGGGTCCTTGTGCTTGCGAGGCAGGCAGCGGAACTACTGAGCTAAATCCCTAGCCCCAGAATTAGCCTTTAAGAGCACTTGTAAGTGTCCTTTTGAGGGAGTTTGCTGTAATCAGTTTTCTTAGTTATCATGAACATGACGTATACAGTCTCTCTATAGTGTCGCACAAGCATTTGGAACAGCAGAGTTGTGCATGTGAAAGGAAGGTTACTAGAGTCTGTTGCATCACGGAAGTCCCTGTCTCCTAATCTGGTGTTAGTGGCTGTGGGGTCAGAGAGTTCAATGTCAAAGAATTATCAATGCCCCTGCTTTTTATCTTACAGTTTTAAGTCTGGCGAGCACATGCTTTAATAGTAACTGCTGACATTTACCAGATGCCCTCTTTGTTTTGGGCCCTGTGCTGTGTCCATTATATACATTAATTCACTCATCTGATTTTGTTGGTACTGGTGTGCTAAGTATACACTACCACTTAGCTCCATCCCCGTCCCTAATTCTGTAACCTTGACACAGCCCCTAAGAGATAGCTACTATTATTTCTCCAATTTTCCAGAGAGGCAGAATTTAAGTTATTTGCTCCAGGATCATGGTTAGGAAGTGTCCATGGCAAGATTTGAACCCGGGAGTCCTGGTTCTATCATGTGTGCAATTAACCACTTTCATTCTGGACTCCATTTTTGTTGTTGTTTTTTTGTTTGTTGAGACAAGGTCTCACTGTGTATTCCAGGCTGGCCTCACTTGTGGTGATCCTCTTGCCTCAGCCTCCTAAGTGCTGGGCTTACAGGCATGTGCCACCATACCTGGCTCTTGACTCTATTCCTAAAGGAGAAATTAATACTTCTGATCTTGTGATTTCTTCCTTTAGGTGGGGTTTAAATTCTTTCTTCTCCAGCAATTAAAAACCTTTTCCATGTCTCCAGTTGTTTGTAAAGAAAGACACTTTTAATTTTGTTTTTAGGAAAATTTCAAACATACAGAAAAATAATCTAATGAACTCTCAGGTACCTGTCATCCAGCACAAGTTACCAACAACATATGGCCATTCTTGTTTTTTCCATATCCTGCCCATCTTTCTCCCCTGCTGCCTTAAAGGAAATTCAGCTATGTTTTTTTTAAGGATGTTTGTAGAAGGTAACCTATAATTCCTCGACCTGTCACTCCCCTCATGGCCAGCTGACCACCATCCTGGTTCTCTGTTCCCTTTCTCCTAGTTTCCAAATGCAGACAAGTCTGGATGTGTGAAATTGTCACTACAGCTCTGTCTCTGGCTCATTTCCTGTAACCTTATACCCCAGGCTCTTCTCACTGCTCTGGGGCCTTCTTAGTGACCGTGGACAGGCTGGGATTGCTTGGCAGTACTGTCCTCCGCTGTAGGACATTTAATCTACTTGTGGCTTTTTGCCATGGTTGTGGCCTCTTCCCTTATTTGGGTTATTTTCTGGATCCCTATCCACTCAAGCCAGGTCAGGCCCCCTCGACACTCCTTGCACACTGTAACTTCACGTTAAGCATGTGGTGTCCGCTGCAGTCAAAATAGAACACTGACTTGGGTACTTGTTTACTAATTGCCTGCTGGGCGCCTTCTGGGGCGGGTCTGTCTGCCCCTGCTGTGTTCCCAGCACCGCTGGGCACAGGGCCTGCACCGAGTAGGTGCTCAGGAGCCATCTGCTGCATGAATGAATGAATAAATAAATAAATGAATGGATGAATGAATAAATGCCAAGCTCAATAGCTGGGCATTTACTATGTGAGCAATAGAAAGTATTTTAAGCACAGAAGTGTTTTAAGCAAAACTGGACGCATTTTTTTCAATCTTTAATGTGCATATAAATCCCCTGGGACCTTGTTAAAATGCAAGCTCTGCTTCAGTGGTTCTGGGAAGGGGCCTGAGATTCTGCATTTCTAATAAGCTCCCAATTGATGCCAGTGTGTTGAGTAGCAAGAGTCTTGCTGTGCTGATCAGAACGGCAGCCACTAGCCACCTGTGGTTCTTGAGCACTTGAAATGCGGCTAGTGTGAACTGAGATGTATTTTAAATGTAAAATATCCACCAGATTTGAAAGACTCAGTACAAAAAATTTTTTATATTGGTCACATGTTGATATGGTAATATTTTTGGATATCTTGGGTTAAATAAAATATATTATTAAAATTAACTTCAACTGTTTCTTTTTTTTTAAGTGGCTACTAGAAAATTGAAAGTTAAATTTGCAGCTCACATTTATGGCTCATATGATATTTTTATTAGATCGTGGTGATCCAGGACCCTTCAGACTCCTTGTCACCAGCAAGCATGTGTCATGCCCACTTTTTTCTCTCATCTTCCCACAACTAATTCTAGTTATCATTCAGTCTCAATTAAAATGTTTCCTCCTGGGCCAGGGATTTAGCTCGGTGGTGCTGCCGCCGGGCTCCAAAGTGCAAGGTCCTGAGTTCGATCCCCAGTACCAAAAAAAAAAAAAGTCCCCTCCTTAAGGGAACCCTGTTGACCTCCCCAGGGTGGGTTAGGCACCTGATGTGGGATTCCATAGTTCCTTGCTTTCCCCTATCCCAGTCTGAACTGTGTCAGCATCACTGCATCTGTCTCCTCCTTTAGATGATAAATCATAAGGTTGGGGACAAAGTTTTCCTGGTCATCGAATTATCTCCAGAATCCAGCAAAGAGTCAGTAAATAATTGTCAGCTGAATTAGTGATAAGATGTGGATCGTGCACATCTTACAACTCTAGAGCAGGCCCGTGGCGCCATCTCTGAGGTCTTGTTTTGACACACGCTGCTTTTAATGCAGTGTCTCCAACTTCTGTCACTCTGTTGGGTGTAGTAGACTTGCCATGGTGCGCATCCCCCTCTTTGTAGAGCTGTTCTGCCTGCCCTAGCTACCCTGTAGCCCCCTCTCAAGATTTGTCCTCTGTCAGTGACACACTTCTGAATGGAAATGGGATTTTTTTTCATTGTTCATTTATATCAACTTTAAATACAGCATGGATTTTGTTAGAGCCCCTCCCCAGTCAGAAATGTCCCTTGTTTTCTTTTTTTTAATTGCATAGGAACATTGCTTTAAATAAACAGTCATTAAAAAATAGTCTGTTGGTCTTTTCCTTTGAGATTGCTGTTACTTCAGTAGCTTTATAATTAGTTTGATATGAAAAGATACTTCAGCTTATTAGGAATAAGACATTCAGAAGTGGAAACAGAAACTAGCTTCCTCTCCCTCCAGGTGGCTTGTGCAAGGATCCACTGTGTTCTCTTGCCTTCAGCAGCCCCTCCAGTGCATGTTCCCACCTGTTCCCTCGCCAGAGAGTCCTCCTTTTGTCATTGCACCCTGCCCACTGTGCCCTATCAATGACAGTCAATACCATCACTCTCTTAATTTTTTTTCTTCCTCTATCTTTTGGTTCCCATGCACCTGACTAAACACTAGCCCTTAATAATGAACATGTAGAGGAACAAAGGCTAGGCTGAAATTCTATTTTACACTCTCAAATTGGCTAAAATTAAGGTAGGTTGGGCCGGGGATTTAGCTCAGTGGTTCGGCCGCCTGCCTCACAAGCACAAGGACCCAAGTTCAATCTCTGGTATAAATAAATACATAAATAAAATTAAGGTAGGCAGTGATAGTGATTAGCAGGACATCTACATTGTTGATGGGCCTACACATTGGTACAACCCTCGGGGAAATAGAATAATGTTTTAAAATGATTCAACCAAGTTGAAGATTTGAGTCACTTATGCCCAACATCTCTATTCCCAGTCTCTCAGTCAAGAAGAAGCACTTGACCCGTTGAGATTTTAAGAGTTCACATAGTAGCACCACTGTCTGGTTTAAGAAGTTAGGAACAAACCTGAAGCCTGTTAAAAGGGGAAGGGCTAAATAAATTGTGGAATATCCACATTATGCAGCAGAGAAAATGAAAGAACTACAGATGCATAAGAAAAAGATGAATCTCAAACATAATGTGAATAAAGCAATTGGAAAAGATTCCATATAGAATGATTCTAATAATGTTTGAAACCAAGCAAGAGGAAACATAGCTTAAGTATACAAAAATAAATGATGAAACTTGAAATAAATCAGATACACAAGGTTAAATATTGCATGGTTTTTCTTAGAAAGCCAAAGTATATGTAAAGAGCAAAATAAAAGATAGGTAATAGAAAATATGGAGATATTTCTCAAATGGTAAGAGGATCAAGAGATGGAGGGAGGGCCGGGGATTTAGCTCAGTGGTTCTGCTGCCTGCCTCGCAAGCGCAAGGTCCCGAGTTCAGTCCCTGGTACCAAAAAAAAAAAAGAGATGGAGGGAAAGGGGGGAAAGGGGATGAAAAAAGGAATTAAAATGTTTTATGTACATGTACCAACTCCACACAAGGAATGTACCCCCCCAAAAAAAAATAAAAAGGGAAGGAAGAGAATAAAGAGATGATGGAAGGAGGGAAGGGAAAGGGGGTGAAAACAAAAGCAATTAAGATGTGTTATGTAATGTGCAAATTTCCCACAAGGAATACAAACATGTACTACAATCATGTACTAAAAAAAAGCAGGCAAATGTAACATAGTATGTGGTGAGAGGACCTTTTGGATCTAATTATACTGGACTTTAAAATGGGTATATTTCATTGCATGTAAATTATACCTCAATAAAGTTTAATTTAAAAGAGATTGACCAGTGCCAGGCATAGTGGCACATTTTTGTAATGCCAGAACTTGGGGAGGTTGAGGCAGGACGATTGCAAGGTCAGTCTCAGCCTAGGCAATTTGGTGATCCTGTCTCAACATAATAAAAAGGGGTGGGAATGTAGCTCAGTGCAAAGACTCTGGGCTCAATACCAGTACTAAAACAAAAAAGGATGGAATACATTCCCTCTCCTGACCCTGGGTATGGACTATAAGAAAGAAGGTGAGGGTAAGGACAGATGTCATCTGATGATGTGGCTGAGAATGGCAGGGAAGAAAAGAAAAAGGACCTTAGTCTTGGATAATGTCATTGAGCCACCTAAGGTACTTTGCTTTCTTCTCTATGTCTCTTGCTCCTAGAACAGTACCTGGGGAATACTTGCTATTTGTATATATTTGATTGATTGATTAAGCTGGGGCTCAAATCCAGGCCTTGCACCTCTGAGCAACACTTCCAGCTCCACTACTCTGATATATTTAGATAAAATTTTCATGGAAGTATAATTTAAAAATTTTAAGGGTTTAGATAGATTAAGTTAAATAATTTGACAAGCCGGGAAGTATGAAGTACTCATTGTGTGAAATAATGAATTTCCTTTGACTAAAGCCCTTTTGAATACTTTTATCTGCAGGCAAATACATCTTAGGTGGTGACCTATATGCTAATTGTGTTACGACTAACATTTTCAGGAGCTCTTAATATGTGTCAATCCCTGTGATTCTGAATCATGATGACATCCCCATGAGGTTGATTTCAGGTTCTCATTTTACTGAGAAGCCCTAAAAGAGACCACAGGTTATCATGCTTGGTTTTGCCAACACTTTGATGCCTCCTGGATTCAGTCACCCTGCCCTATCCATCTGTCACTTTTAGGGAATTCTGACATTGATTGCAGTCACAGATTTATGGTTGAAAGAAATTTTCTGTATTCACCCTACAGAAGCCATTGGAGGCAGCCCATGGTTCCCTGCTTCTACACAACAAACCACTCCAAATTGTAGTGTCTTAAACAACAGTGATCTTTCATGGCTCTGTGGGATGACTGGGTTCATCTAGGTGGTTCTTGCTGAGGGAACACTGATACCATTGGAGCTGGAGATCAGTCAGGACTGTGGTCAGCCAAAAGGCCTCAAGGTGGCTCCCTCACCTGGTCAGCACTTGCTGCTGCCCATGGCCTTGGGCTGTGGGCTGGAGTGCCCCCATATGGCCTCCCAATGTGGCCGGGCTTCTCACAGCGTGGTGGCTGAATCCTGATGGAATATTCCAAGAGCGAGCTCTCCAAACAGCCCAGTCCAAACTCCATCTTTTCTCATGATCTAGCCTCAGAAGTCCTAGAGTACCACTTCCTCTGTATCTGGTTGGCCACATACGTCACTAAGCTTCACTGTGATTCAGGGGGAGGGAAGGCCACCCATCTCTGGCTGGGAGGAGCAGTATGAGCAGATAATCTTCACATTAACTTTCTCCAGGCATTACCAAGAATGACCTAACACCCAGCCCTTCCTTTCCTGCTTCCCTCTCTCCAGGGCTCCTGGCTGGAACCTTCATCTTGCACTTGACCTTCTTCTGGGACAGCCCAAGGTGACTTCAGTTCCGTGCTTCTTCTCCAATGTGTCACTTTTTCTCTGAAGTCCTACAGCTGTGAAAAATTTCCATTTTTTTTGTTCTTTTTCTTAAGTAAACTTTCTTACTGGAGTATAATAATACTGTGAAGAGCACAAATCACAAGTTTTCTGTACAGTTGATAAATTTTTGTGTGCTGTTTTGTGGCTGGGGATACTGAGGTGAGCAAGACAGGTCATTGCTTGCCCATGTGAAATTTGTGTTCATGGTAATGAAGAGGTTTCTGTGTCTCTAGGGGTTTTCAAGCCAAACCTTTAAGGTGTAGGAAAATATTAGAAAGTTAATTTATAGCCACTTTTACCTTGCCTTTAAGCATTTCTAATTTAGTATGTGTTTTTTATTATGCGTGGCAGTATGGTACAAGTTTTAAATGACACATATACTTATGTGTAAACGCACATATACATATGCTGGGGATGTGTGCTTATAAGCTTTTTGCTAATGGGGTATGTGGTCAAAAGTCTAAGGGGCCTGGAGTGGGGGATGCACAAATAAGGAGGATAATTGAAGGTAAGGTGACATGCAATATAATAGAGATGTCACCAGGCCCTGTGAGGCTGAGAGAACTGACACTAGGGAAAGAATGCAGGATGTCATTTGCGGCTTTGTAAGGAGAGAACAGCAAAGCTAAGAGTTGAAAGGTAAAAGAAGTCTGGAACTGTATGTAAAGAGACCCCAGAAAGGACATGGTGGTATAGTTCAGAGATTACACAACTGGTTGCAAGCAGCACTCAGATTAAGAAACGGAGCATTAAGCTTGATATGGTGGTGCATGCCTGGAATTGCAGACAGGATGACTGACTTAGCAACTTAGTGAGACCCTGTCTTGAAATAAAAAATAAAAAGGTCTGGGGATATAGTTCAGTGGTAGAGTGCTTACCTAGCATGCACAAGACCCTAGGTTCAATTCCCAGTGAGAGAGAGAGAAAGAGAGGGAGAGCGAGCATTAATAGCCCCCAGAACTTCCCACCTACCTCCTACCCCCATGTGGCATATTATGGACACTCTCTGACTTAGATGTTATGAGACCATAACCAAGATGACTGAGATGTTTCAACTTAAATGATATTTCGTCTTTACAATAATGTAAAAGGGATACAAATGCAGTAGAAACTGTACTTTGAATTTTAAACTTTGATCTTTTCCCAGAATAGAAGTATATGCTATATTTTTTCCATGGGCAGCAGCAGCTCTGGCCACCATCTGACTATAACCACACTGGAGACACCAAGTGAAAACTGTCAGACTGAGCCCACTCAACTCCTAGAAACAGGAGTGATAATTCCAACAGTAATACTAGTAACAAATTAGTATTGCTTTATGTCATTTAGCTGAAGTGTGTTGTATAGCAATAAATAATGGATACACCCCTTTCCCCCAAAGGTAATCACTACGCTACCTGCTAACTTCTAACACCATAGATACTTTTGGCCTGATTCCGTGTGTGTGTGTGTGTGTGTGTGTGTGTGTACGCGCGCGTGTGTTGTGTTGAGGTAAGTTTTGTTTGTTTTTTGTTTTGTTTTGCTTTTTTGAGACAGGGTCTCATCGAGTTACTAAATTGCCCAAGCTGAGCTCAAACTTGTGATCCTCCTGCCTGCACTTTGCTGAGTTCTGGGTTACAGGTGTGCACTGTATGCCTGGCTTTGCCTAATTCTTTATATAAATGAAATAATAAAATACCTTAACCTCTGGGTTTTCTCTTTGACTGTGATCTCTGCTTGGACCCATCTAATGAGAGTTTTATGACTTGCACACATTTTTGCCTTCCCTTGAGGGACAGTGTTCTGTCCCTTGAGGATGGTGTAGTGGACATTGGTTATATTGGCTTGTCCAACACCCGTTCCCTTTTTGGGTTCCAGCACCCCAATTCTCTTCCCCACACTTGGTTTGTGTACTTTGCATTTAGCCTGCCTCATCTTCTTCCTCTTTGGGGCTGAGAACATAACCTATGCCTGGCTAATGAAGATATTCCATTTTGCTGATCAATATAATTTTCCTGAAATGAGCCTAGTGCCAACACTGGGCCAGTGAGACCCAGCTGGGATAATAGGCAGGGAACTCCTTTCTGATGTGTTTTCCCAAATGTTAAGATCTAAGGCTGGAGCTGCTGGGGTCTTTGTGAAAGGAAGCTTGCCTTAGAAGGAAGATGGAAGGTAAGCAGAGCTGAGAGATGGGGAAAGAAAGACTGATTATGCTTGGTCTCTGGGTCCAGCTGTGCCTATAGGTGGACTTCCTCGTTTCAGTCAGATGAACGTATACATATCTTTTTCGGGGTAAGACAGTTTGAATTGAGTTCTCTGTCATTTGTAGCCAGGGTCACACCAAGGACTTTGGTACAGAGTTCCTTGTGCAATCACACTCAATGAAAATTAGATCCATGGTTGTCAGACTTTATTGGACATTGGATGTTGCCAGGAAGGCTTATTAAAACATTGATTTCTGGGTCCTCCCTTTCACTCAGAGTTTCTGATACTCACTAAGGAGAGCCTGATAATTTACATTCAGCTTTGTGGTCAAGGTGATACTGCTGGTCCAGGGCACCCCACGTTGAGAACTGCTGAGTTAGGTGTTATTGTTAGTGATCTCCAGCTCCCTTTCGGATCATTCTTTGGTCACCTCAGATGCTCTGCAATTGCTCTTTCCACTGACTCAAGACTCTGCCTCCTCCTCTCACTCCCTTTTGGCATCAGCTTCCATAGTTGGGTTCCTTGTGGCTGGTAATTGGAGCTCTAAGCCCAGCTTTCTGCCGAGAGTAGCCTCAGCCTGCACCTGTTCAGGGCACCTGATTGATGGTTCCTTCAACCACAAGTGTTCCTTTTTTGGCAGCCTTCAGAATAGTCTCCAGCTTTATTATATAAGCAGATACCTTTCTTCCTAACCACTAGGAAGCTGCAATTGCCACTTCATTTCTGGCACTCTGGCCGTGCAATTCAGTCCTCACTCGACCCTCACCACGTGTGTTACTTTGCTTTGCTAATACAAACAGTTTTACATGTAGGGACAATTAAACCTCTTCCAACAAACTCCTGTGTAACTTAGACCTGCTTGCTGGAGCAAGAAGGTCAATGTGACTGGAGCTAAGAGCAAGGGGAAGGATGGCAGGAGATCAGGTCAGAGAGGCATGTGGAAGATAGATGAAGCAAGGTTCTACATGTCATGAAAAGATCTTTGATTTTATCCTAATAGTAGTAAAATTTTTGAATCATTTTTTAAAATGAAATATATATATATATATATTTATACTTCTATACTGTCATGTGTCCAAAAAATTTTTTTTCTTTTCTTTTTTCTTTTTTTCAGTGCCGGGGGTTGAACTCAGGACCTTGTGCTTTTGAGGCAGGCGTGGTGGCACTGAGCTAAATCCCTGGCAATTTGTCAAAAATTATACAGTGTACATACATAGATAAAAAATGTAACGTTGGTAGTCAAAACCATCTCTGACATTGGTGAACCAAAAGTACGAATAGAGACTCCCAATCTGTAGCTCACAACCATCCTTTTCCACCCCTGTGTCCTGCATCCTTGAGGGGTTATCCACATATGTATGTGGACACCCAAGTCTACATGTGGGAGCACGACTCATCTCCCCAAGATCACCTCTTTCTCATCTTCTGGGCCTGGGGTGCACACATCAGCATGACCCTCCCTGAATGTTAGTTGAAAGATAGACTGGAAAAAGACCCGCACAGTTGCTGAAAGCAGGTTCAGGGGTTCAGGAATATTTGGGTATGGAGTCATAGGGAACTGGGTACTCAGAATGTGACCTAGAAATGCATTGTCTGCGAAGGTAACCATTAGTCATATACAGCTATTTAAATTAATCAAAATTAAATAAAATTTAAAGTTCAGCTCAGTTACACTGCTACTTTCAAGTGGTCGACAGCCACATGTGGACAGTGGATAATACATTGGATAGTGTAGTGAAAGAACTTCTTTATAATTGCAGAATGCTATGTTAGATATTACTGGTTGGAAAAGAGTAGTATGGGTTCTGAAAGAAATTAGAAAGTACGACTCCACCAGGTACGGTGGCACACACCTGTAAACCCAGCACTAGGAAGCTGTGGTAGGAGGATGGGAAGTTCAAGTCCAGCCTGGGCAATTTATTGACTTAGGAAGACCCTGTCTCAAAATAAAAAATTAAAAAAAGAGGATTGGAAATATAGCTCAGTGTGAAGGCTCTGGATTCAATCCCTACTTACAAACAGAACAAAACCCTATACTGGCAAGAAAGCAGGCAACAGAAACTGCCTGTGAGAGTGACCATGTGTCACATTTAAAAGACAGTCTTCAAAGTAGCCACTTTATATTTATGTGTGAAAATAAAGGGAACATATTTTTTTAAAAAGTTAAGAGGAAAGTATGATCAAATAAAAAATCTCAACAAAGAGGCATCATAAAATAGAGTGAAATGGAAATCTGGAGCAGAAAAGTACAACTGAATGAATGAAAACTTCACTAGAGGAGCTTAACAGTAGATTTGAACTGACAGAAGAAAGAATTAGCAAACTTGGAGAGAGAGATTATGTAATCCAAAGAACAGAGAGAAATAAAGAATGATGAAAAGTGAAGAGAGCCCCAGAGAAATGTGGGATGCCATTATGTAAAACAAGTACACATAACAGGGTTACCAGGAGAGGAGAGAGAAATATACAGAAGGATTGTTCTAAGAAATTATGGCTGAAAAATTCCCAAATTTATTGAAAAATTATAATATACCTATTCAAGAAGCTTAATGAACTCCAAATAGGATGAAGAGAAAGTGATCACAAACAGATACATCATAGTTAAATCCTGAAAGTAAAAGGAAAGGAGGAAAATTTGAAAGCAGAAAGAGAAAATACCTCTTCTCTCTCTCTCTCCTCTCTCCCCCCTCTCTCCCCTCTCTCCCCTCTCTCTCCAGTCTCTCTTTTTTTTTTTGGTACTAGGAATCAAACTCAGGACCTTGCACTTTCGAGGCAGGCAGCGGAACTACTGAGCTAAATCCCCAGCCCAGTACCTCACCTCTTAAAAAAGACAAACAACTAACTTCCCAACGAAAACAATGGAGGCTTTACGGCAATGGAGTAACGTATTCAAAATACAAAGGAAAAAATCAAGAATTGTATGTCCAGCAAAGCTATCTTTCAAAAATAAAGGCAGCATAAAGACTTTTCCACCTAAACAAAAACCAAGAGAAGTTGCTGCCAGGCCTAGCTTACAAGAAATACAAAGGGAAATTCTGGACAAAAGCAAATGACTCCAGGGGAATGAGATCATTGCTGAAGTTAATTAGGTACTTCTAAACGACAGTAAAATGCAAGTTTCTCTCTTTTTTTCTCAACTAATATATCTATATCTGGTTGTGGTAGTGGTGCATGCTTATAATCCTCGCAACTCTGGGAGGCTGAGGCAGGAGGATCAAAAATTCAAGCTCAGCCTGGGCAACTTAGTGATTTGGTGAGACCCTGTCTTAGAAAAAGTGCTCCCCAAATAAAGTAAAACAATTAAAATAGCAAAAGATTTTAAATATTGAAGGATATAAAATAATATATATACATATATCTGGTAATACAATACTATTTTTATACTACATGATAGTATAGTATAATACTATCCTAGGACTATTGGAGCTATATAAGTATTGTTGAGCCTATATCTCTCTATAGGCTGGATCTATATACAAATGTAATATAATTGCCAATAATAATACAAAAGAAGTACAGTACACTGGAACAAAGCTGACTTGGCCAAAGGAAGTTACTCCAGATAGTAACTGGGAATTAATCATAACAGGTAAAGAGAACAAAAAATAATGTTAATATAATAAAAGGTATTTATGTATACTTGCTTTCCTCCTCACAATCTCTTTAAAGTTGAAAACACTTACTCTATTTTATAACCTGATTCCAGAACCCAAAATAAATACCTGGGTGTGGTAGTGGCACATGCCTGTAATCCCAGCACTCAGGGAAGCTGAGGAAGGAGGATCAAAAATTCAAGCCCCACCTGGGGAATTTAGTGATTTATGAGACCCTGTCTCAAAAAAACCAAAAAAACCAAAACAACAAAAAAAACAACAACAAAAAGTGCTGGGAATGTAGCTCAGTCCAAAGGCACTGCGTTCAGTCCACTGTACCACACACCTCTAACCCTTATGGGTTTCCTATGGAAATCCTTCAACGTTCCCATGACAGCTGACTGTAATCTTGCCACTCCAGTTTACCAGAAATATTCGAAAGCCTTTGCATCTCACAGTGAACATGTCTGGGTGCCCATCCTTTTCCTCCCAGAAGGTTTCTGTCCTTTATGCATATTTTCCTTTCATGATTTTGAAGGACTGAGGGATAAACTTGCTTTACATTTGTGTGACTCAAGAGTCACTTTGATGACTTTCCCAGAAGGCAGAAGCTTTGTTCCAAGAGGGTTAGATGGTTCTGTCCAAAAACGGATCTAGCCAGAAGTTTTAAAACTTTTACTCCCCAATAAAGTAAGACAAAATAGCAAAAGATTTTAAATAATGAAAGATACAAAATGAAAAGCAAAATCTTTTAAAAACTTCATCTCAATCTCTCTCATATGGAAAATAATTAATGCACAGAACATTGTGTATTTCTCAAAAGAGTATAAATAAAACATTTTTTTCTTGCCGTGGCTATTTGAGTTTCTGTATCCCTCACTTAATTGTATGAGGTCTTCTTTCCCCATATTTAGGAAGTTTTCTAAGTTTTTTGTGCTCTTTGTATTGTCTTTTCACTTTTCTCTAACTTCAGTTACAGTACTCTTAGGACAGTATTCTTTTTGTTATTTAGTAGCTGTTGGATCCATTGTTTCCCATGTTTTCTTGCTGTTTTTAAGGTATCTTTGAGTATATGGTCATATGCACTATCTTCTCCTTCCAACATACTCTCCTCACATTGGTCACTTTGCTGCCCATACTTTCAATAGAAGTTTGTTTATCTCCAGGATTCCTGTTTGGTACCTTTTCATGGACATTAAGTCTTTGCTAAATTTGGCATTCATGTGTTGAATCATTTTGATAAGCTCTGCTAGTTTTTTTATTTGTATCTTCTTTAAACTCACTGATCAGTTTTTTTGTTAAGTTCATTATTTGTTTAGTTTCATCAACGTTGAGCTCACCAAGTTTCTTTGTTTCTTCTTTTATCATTTAATATAAGTAAGCCATTTGGTTATTGAGTTCCTCCCCATCAATGCCTCTCAGATCTGCTTTGGGAGAGTTGGGAATTTTTTGGAAGCATTTTCTTGCCTTGTTTTCTTGTGTTTCTTCTGTGTGTGTGTGTGTGTGTGTGCGCGCGCGCGTGTGTGTTTAGGGTTGAGTGTCAACTATAGTAGAAAGGCTCTATTTGTAGTATGGAGATCCCTTTAGTGTTTGCTTTCCACTGATGTGATATTGGCTTTGTTTGCTTCTTGGCTTATCTACCTCTTGGACCTGTCCAGGTTAACAGGATCAGACCTGGTCACTGTAATGCAAGAGAATTCCTACCAGTTATGATAATGTCCACAGATCCCACCATGCATCAATCATGGACCTTAAAAGTTGTTTTAACAATTTCACCCTTTCATCATTACCTCTATAGACTGTACTATTCTGCTGATAAGAGAGGCTGGGATGTGGAGGGAGAGGGGTGAGGAAAAAGGAAGAGGAAAAGGAAAGGGGTAAGTCAGTAGGAAGAGAGGGAAAGAAAAGATATACTGATGGGTTCAAATCAGACAGGAGATCAGACTGTGTTGAAATTACTTTTATAGCTGGAAAAAAGGACTAGTGTTGAGGGTGTTTGAGAGAAGGTTTGTGGGAGCAGGAGGAAGGATATGAGGGAGAGAAGTGTAATTAGAGATTGAGGAAAGCTGAGATTGTCAGAACCTTTGAATATGTTGGTAGTTTGTGTTTGGCTCCTGGATGCACAATTTTGGGAAGAGTTACTCTGGCAGGCCCACGAAAGGTACTATTAAGTTAAAGCACTGGTTAATTTCTTATTCTCTTTTGCACAATACAGGCAGCTCCTATATCTATGTGCTAGATGAAATGAGGGAAGATAAGGGGAGAGTAAAAAGAATGTAGAAGAAAAAAGATGGAGAAAAAAGGGAAGAAAATGATGATAAGGTAAGAAAAAACCCACAAAGTCAAAGCGTCCTCACAGTCCCATTTATACTGCAGCTGAGTTCAGTTGAAGGTCTGCAAGCTGCCTCTCCACCCCATGGATGGCTTAATTGTCTGCTTGTGAGCACGGAGGCTTCTTGAAGTGGATGGGTCTCTGTGCCTGCCTTCCAGCTTCAAGCAGTGGCTTGGGTGTGGCCAACTATGCCTCTGTTTCTGTCTCAAGATCCAACTATTTCAGTGAACTTGGGGTGGGCAGAGTGCAGTGGCCCAGTATCTGGTTCTCTGTCACCTTCTGCCAGGGCTCTGTTGTTCTCCACTCTTTTCCCTGCAGGACAAGTCTGCAGTTGAATCTTTTTTTCTTCCACTATATTTCCTCCTACCATGTCAGATGCTTTCTGACCTGAGTGTGGATCTCTGTTCTTCCACCCACAGTCTTTTTACAGTCACCATCCCACAGTGTCATTCTCTTACTTGTAAAATTATCAGTACTGCACAGTCTTTGTCAGGCAATATTAGGGGCTCCCCTGTGGGCACCCATCAGCAGGCATAGACACCATCCAGGGGGTCTCATAAGCACAACACACTTGGAGTGTGGGGAAGGGATGGTTGAGTAACTATGTCTGGCTGGGTCTGGCCTGTTCAGTCCCCAGAGTGCTGCTGTGCCCAGAAGCTACTCACTCATGTAACCCCTGAGCTGCAGATTTCCCAGCACTCAGGTTTAGGTTCCTAACCTGCCTGTCCCAGATGCTGCTCACTTGTGCAGTTCCCAGGCTGAAGTCTCTCAATGCTCAGATTTTGGTCCCTAACCTGAGTAGTGCACTTGTTCTCCAATTCCTAAGGGACTGCCAGTGTCCCTTTATACACCACTCCCCTGCTAACAGCTTCTCTGAAGCCCTAATTGTGAATATCTCACGTGCTGTGCTCCTCTTATAGCTGGGAGGGTAGAGTGTCTGGAGCCCATTCTACCACCCAGGCCCCAGCTGAAATCCCGCTTCCTCCCTCAGAGAGCCCAGCCTTCTCCCCAGATGGCAGTTATGCTGCACCTGGGGTGTAAGTGGTGCCTCAATCCAAGAGCCACGCTACTTCCCTTTCTGAGCCCCGCTCATACTGGATTTCAGTCCAGTGAGTTTCTCCTTCTGTTTACCTTCCCATACTTGACTCTCTCTATAGCCCTTGCCTCAGTGTACCTGCTTTCCTCTGGTGCATGATTCAGTCTTCCGTCTTTGCTACCTCCACCTTGCCAGTCATTTCCCCTGCCTTATTTGTTTGTTTGTTTGTTTATTTATTTATTTTTGAGATAGGATTTGACTGAGTTGCCCAAGCTGGCTGGAACTTTGGATCCTCCTGCATCAGTCTCCCAGAGTGCTGGGATTCCAGACATCCACCACCGCACCCAGTGCCACCGCAGCTTAGTCACTTTCTCCTCACTGACACACAATACCTGATATGCACAGGTATTAAAGCAGGAGAGGTTTGTTGTGGCTCAGCTTCAGCAGTCTCAGTCCACACAATCCTTGGGTGGTTCCAAGGGAAAAACAGTATGCTTGAAGGACCTGGTGGAGGAAAGCTGCTCACATCATGGTGTTTGGGAAGCAGGGAGTGAAGGTAGGAGCTGGAGAGGGAGATGCACTCTTCCGGGTCACAGCTCCAGTGATCACCTCTAACAAGGCCCCAGCTCCTCACAGCAAGTCAGCTATGAACTCATCAGTGGACTGCTGAGAACAGCGCTCCCGTGACCAGTCATCTCCTCAATCCCTGAGGCCCTGGAGGAACACGCCAGACCTAAACCATAATGCCACACTTTCAGTAAGTGCAAATGGGCCAAGCACATAAATATCTTTCATATTGGATCAAAAATAAATGAGCCCAACTAGGTGCTATAGTATACACCAAGAGACATAGCAAACTTACGTGAATTATAATTTTTTTTAAAGGATAGAAGGTGATACACAGGCAAAGGAAACCAAAAAGAGAACATGACCACAGGGCTGCTGGGACACACAGAGGTAGGGGAGAAGATTGAGAATTACTTGCCCTATTTAAAAAATACCTGTAGGAATCCTTCATGTTTTCCCCCCAAGAACCAGGGCTGGCATCAGCCTTGGACAGGTGCACATGCAACTGGAATGCAGCATCCTTGAAGTACTGGGTTTCCCCTAGCCTTAGAGGGTTGAGGAAAAATGCCATTAACAGCCTGAGGAGATGATTTTTGGAGGGTCCTGCGCTCACTCCATTCACTAGAATGTGCAGGTTGCAGAAAGAGGATTCATAATAAATGAGGGGTCAGAATGGACAGGCCCGAAGGGGTATGAGGATGGTTAAGAGTATTAATTGGGGGCCAGGGATTTAGCTCAGTGGGTCCACCGCCTGCCTCACAAACACAAGGTTCCGAGTTTGATCCCCAGTACCAAAAAAAAAAGTATTATTTGGTCTCTGTCCATGGATGAATTAGGAGCCAATGAAGTTAGCAATCTTGAGGCTTCCTCCAGGTATTTCTGGTCTATGCTGGGAAGAGTATCCAAGACAGTCACATCACAAGAATAGAGGGGAAGACAGTATAGTGTTGAGATGCCCTTGCCCTCAGAGGGAAAGGAGCTTAGTCCCAGAAGATCTCCATCTTGACCAGTATAGGCTGTGCGAATGAGGGACCAAGTGGACCCATGTGGCTGGCCACAAGCAGCTTGTGGTGCTAGTGGCCTGGTTTCACTTGTAGATAGCTAGAGAACCTTGAAGGTGCTGGAAGGAAGGTTCCAGGAAGGTTCTTGGGCAATTTACACAGAAGTTCTTGAGCTCTCCTCTCTGTATTCCATCAACTTAGCCTCTCTTGACTTGAGAAATGAAGAGGAAGGCCAGCCAGGAGTGAGGGAATGGTTCCCCCTTGGACCAAACAGGCCCATATCTGCTGAGAGGAAACTCCTGTGGTACCAGAACTGTCCTGGACAGGTAGGTCTTGGACTCCTTTCTCCTGAACCTTCCAGGCCTTAGAAACAGGGATGTCACATTGTGGAAGTGGTTAGAAACAGTGATGGGTGGTACAGAAAAAGGCAAATAGTTATAGTTCTTGAAGTCCCTCCAGAATCTTTGAGAATCCTAAATAACCCGTAGCCCTTAGATGGAGCCTTCTCCAGCTTCCCATCTATTACCTAGGTCCTTAGACTCTCTAGGCCCAGTGAACAGAACAACTTCAGCAGACAACTGGAGATCACCAAAAGTTCCTAACAGCTGCCCTTTGTCACCTCCCAATGGTTCCTTTTGCACACTGCAGGTCTTGCGTCTTCCCTC